GATATTACCTCAAAATGAAGCCTCCAACAGCAAGAGATCCAAATCTAAACAAAGCCCTTTGATCCAAGCCTCTTCTCCTTCAAGATTTCTTCAACAAACACTTCCCCAAGCTCCAAATGCACTCCAGTCTTCCACAATCACGCTTTCTAGGGTTTATGGACTTCAAGGGAGATCAAAGAGGCTAGGGAGAGGATATAATGTTCTTTAAATAGGGCTCATCCCCCATATTTTGGGTTTTCTCCACTCAGTACCTACTCGCCGAGTCCATCTTTGGACTCGCCGAGTAGGCCACTTGACATGCGACCAAAGTCGCGACCCTACTCGCCAAGTCCATCCATGGACTCGCCGAGTTGCCCTTCAGATTTACACTTTTAGCCCTTCAACTCTACTCTTGATATTCCGGGATGTTACAGCCGAGTCCCTATCCTTCCTATTTGTCCTCATACACAACTCCACTCGTCAAGTTAGGCGATGACTCGACGAGTTATCCTTCTAACCGATGACCAATGATCCTTCATCTAACTCGCCGAGTTGTATGAACAACTCATCGAGTTCGTCTTCATCCGAAGAACACTCTAGCCTGTGACTCGCCGAGTTGTATGAACAACTCGTCGAGTATGTTCTTGAGGTAAGATGATTGCCTTGGATTCACCGAGTCAGGGCATTGACTCACCGATTCCTTCCATAGATGATTCTGGCTTCCGACTCACTGAGTCCACCCATGACTCACAACTCCACTCAACAAACATGAAAATGAGGAAAACTCGGGGACTCGCGACTCGACTCGCCGAGTCCGATGAATGACTCGCTGAGTCATTCACATGCAATTACTATATACTCGATTTTGCTTGAATCCAGCTCATGTCATACATAGATCTGAGTTCTTAGGGTAGGTTTTACACGTAAAATTTCCAACTTTACGTGTAAACAGGCATAGAATGGGGATTTAAGGCCAAATAAGGGCTAAAATGGTAGATCTAGAACATTCAAGCAATATGCTTCCATAAAGGCCCTGAATCCGAGCTTCTGGAGCTCAAACATGCCTAGATCTAGAGGTTACACAACTCATTACAAACCCTAATCCATACTCAAGCATGGAAATGGTTCAAGAAAGACTTTAATGGTGCTCTAAGGGACTTTAAGCATAAAAATAGAAGGAACTGAGTTATACCTCAATGAATCACTGAAATATCACCAAGATATTCGACCTCCTTCTTCTCCTCTTGATCTAGTCTTCTTCTTCTCTCAAAATCTTCAAGAAATCACACCAAAACACTTCAATCTCACAAGAAAAAGGGTTAGGACGATATAGGGAGCTCTGAGGGTGAAGGAGTCGGGCTTGGGGCGCATAAGGTTGGTTTAAATAGGCTGCACACCCTTGAGATTAGGGTTTCATCCAAACAGCGGGGACTCGCTGAGTCCAGAATGTGGACTCGCTGATTCGCCAACTTAAACGTGATCAATGCCGCATCACTACTCGTCGATTTGGGCCTACAACTCGCCGAGTCCAAAGCTAAAATTTAAATCACTTAGATAGATTATACGTACCAGGAACCAGGTGCTACATCAAGATTAGTCCTTGAGTGGAATTTATAGCAAATGAGTACGCTGGTCGTATTAGAGAGTACGCTGCGCGTACTTATGCGCTTAATTTGGATGCAGAATCGCCTAGGTACCCTGGGCATAGAGGGTTCAGATGCAAACCATAAAATTTGGCTTGTGCACTATATAAGAATGCTAAGGCTTTATCCTCAGCCACCATATCAGAGAGTGAAACCCTAAGAGAGCCTTCCCTTCATCCTTAAGCTTATGTGTGAGTGTTTTGAGATAAAAGTGCCTTGGTGTGTTAGTGAAGAAGAAGGAGAGGAGCTTGTGGAGGCTAGGGCTTGAAGTGCAAGTTTGGATCTGAGATCTTCAGAGGAAGGAGCTTCATCTAGAGGTATAAAGCTCAAAAATTTCCTCTTTATTAGGTATGGTGTTGCATGGACCATTTCTAGGGTTAAAAGTCCCAAAGGTGGAGACTTTATGAGTGAAAACGACTCCATGGACCTAGATTTGTCCCATTTGAGTGATATTTGTGTTATAGACCCATAAAAATCCCAACTTGGTCGTTGTTATGGGGTCATGCTTGAGTTATGAGCTTTTCTAGGGTTGGAAATGGAATGTTATGGGGGTGAGTCAGTTTTCTAGCCATGTAAACGCTTAAAGTCACAAAATTTATGGATTAAGAGGTTTAGAAATGGTCAAATCTAGAAGTTGGACGTATGTCTTAACTGTTTAAGACCGCAAGAGCTAAGGAGTTTGAAACTGGGAGTTACGTGGGGCGTAATCCCAGTACGCGTGGTGTAGGGGGTCGTGTTCCCCGTTTCTGTGAGGTCGCCGGGTACGCCCATCGTACAGGTTTCACTACTAGAAAAAATCCCTTTAATGACGCGCAAACAATGACACGCGCTGATAGACGATACACATTTGTGCGTGCCCTAAAAAATAATGTCAGTTTTGCAAAATATGAAGGATAGAGGGCACCGCATTTGTGCGTGCCCTAAAATTAGTGTCAGAAAAGAAAAAAAAATGCGGAGGGCACCTTTCATAAAACGTGTGTCATCTAAGAGTGTCGCTTTATAATTTTTTAATGAAACATGCGTTTTAAGCGGGATTTCACCCGCCTATATTGGATCCCAAAAATTAAACCCCCCGCCTCTTCCGATTAGCAAGAAAAAACGCTAGGGCGTTGGTCTTCATAGCAGCATCGCACCACCACCCAACCTCCGATCTCGCATCGCTAACTGTCTCCGACCATCTTCTCCAACCATTTCGGAGAAGTTGTTTCCAAACGTTTCAACATTTCATTACGTTTGACCAGCTTCTAAACCAATTTTCCCTTCCATCTTACGAAGACATCCTATTTTTCTTCTTGAGCGATTCCCCCCTTCTCCTCTAATTACTTTCTCGGCTTCTCCCCTGACTTACAACAAGAAAACCCTAGTTCTTTCCTTTAACTCGTCTTCGCAAAATCAAGCGCATACAACCATCATCTATGAGAGTACATCTGTCTTCTTCCTCTTACAATCGCTAAGCCCTAACACCGAAAATTGAAAGTCAATTGACCCTCCGTTCGACGAAAAAGGTAAGAATTTTCCTTTATTTATTCCATTATGTTACTTTGACCTCATATTCTTCTGTTCTTCGTCTTTTTTCTTCCAAATTATCAACTCTAGCCCTATACTGTGTTTTCTTTAAATGGAGAACTATTCAATTTAGGGCTTGATTGCAATTTTCTCCACGAAGCCCTTCTTCAGTAGTCAGCTTTTTCATCTTTTTCTGAAGGACCAATGCCCTTCTTTAGTGATTTCAGGATCCATGTAAGTATCAATGTTGAATTCATTTTTTTCCGATTGCTTTTCCATCTCAGAATGCAAATAGGTCTGGAAGTTTACATCATCTGTGATTTTAAGGGATGAACTTTCTTTTAAAGACCTTGCAAATTCCTTCTCGCTTTTTGATTTTCCACTTAGAACTAATACAACAGGTCATTGGGACTCCATGTTTGCTATAAAAAAGCACGATCCAGTTAGTATACACATATCATAAACACTGGATTCTACAATCTTAGATGACAGTGATACTTAAATTGTAATACTTAAATTGGTGTGTTTAAGAATTTGTAGGTCCCACATGAAGGAACAGTGTGTGATCTGTTAAGGTCGGATCCAGATAATAGATGCGGGTAGGGGTTCTCTCCACATGGGGCTGGGTACACATTCAGAGAAGACATCGCGTCTCACTTCAACTATACAAATGGGCTTACTCTCATCTCCAGAGCTCACCAACTTTTCATGGAGGGTTTCAACTGGTGTCATGTATATTTACTTAATTAGCCCTCCATCCCTCTATCCCTCTTTAATGATAATTATTAGGCTTATTAATAATGTTCTGATTGATATTAGGACAAGAATGTGGTGACAGTGTTCAGTGCACCAAACTACTATATGACAATGTTAATATCAGTTTCCCTGTTCTTTTTTATACTTGATGCACCTTTGATGTATCAAGTTGCCTATGTTTTCCTTGTCATATCTGATTTTTGGAAGAGTATGAAATGAGGAATGGGCATGGTTATGTTCTTTATGCACAGTGCTTCTTACTTCAAAAACAGATTTGGATCAGTATTGGGGGGAGTCGCAAGTCATGGGGCCCAAACAACACGGTGCTTCTTACTTCAATATGGCTTTACATTACCAACAAACCAATTTTGACTCCTTCCTTTTCAAATATGGTTGTTCTTTTTAGTTATTTTAACAATATTTTGTGACCAATTATTATTTTTGAATGTCGACAGTATGAACTCATTGGCAAGCTGCGTTCTATTAAGCATTATCTTCTTCCGGATCAGGTTAAATTTTGATTGTTGTGTTTTTGTAGTTTAAATTTTTTGAAAACACCAGTGGTGGTAGCGATGATGGTAGTGGCACTTTCTTTTTGTTAATTTTTTTTTTCAGAAAGATTACTTTAGCTATGACATGTGGAGTTCTTGGAATATAGATGTGGACCCAAATCTAGGTAAAACGTATTTTGTATAACTGGAAAGTTTTTTCTTTACAGATTAATCATCATCTAAAAATGAAAAAAAAATGAAAATTATAAGAAAAAGAATTATATCAATATTATTTATCTTCTATCTTCTATATTCTGTAAAAAATGAAAAAAAAGTGTAATTCATATTTAATTTACATGTACTTTACAGCTTTTGCTATTGTTTGGCCAAAACTTGAGCATAAAGGATTTCATTCCAACCATCAAGAACACCAGCTAAACACCAATAACCAATGGAATCATGGAATGGAAAAAGGAAGGAATGAAATAAAATGAGTTTTATATATTTTATGTAAATACAATTACTTAATTATGTACATAATTTTAATTAAAATTAACGAACCATTACATTACTTTCCAGATTCCATCATATACGAGACACCACCTAAATGAGGTCTTAGGTTCAAATGTTTGTGGACATTGTGGTCTACTTTGTTGGTACTGCTGCAGGGGTGGATAGCAATCTCCATGAAGAAGCTGACTTAGTTGTTGAACATGGAAAACCGGTAAATGACCATAACACCCCTGATCTAAATTTTCCGAACACTGTTGTCCCTGGCATGCCTGAATTTGATCGGAAACTTGGTGCACCTGCAAAAAGGTTTAGCCCACCATCAATAGGGGATTGTTCGACCTTTTCTCATATACCTTTTAATTCGGTTATGGTGCGTGTTTGTTTTGTTGTCAATTCCATTCCTCCTTTTTATTGAAAGACCGAAATACCCTTATTATTACTTTAGATAAAAAAATTTGTTAACAAATTCCATTTTGTTTATCAGGATGGCTCCATTGGTGACCTTGCAGAAGAAGGTGTATATGTCAATACTAAGAAGAGAGCTTCCTAAGCTTCTAGCATTATCTTCTGGAACTTGTAGTCATCAATCCTTGGAGAATATTGTAAGCCAACATCTCTCCTTCTATGCTTACTATCATGACCATTTAGCAGGTAAACATTTTGTCATGGTTTGTTAGTTTTTTTTACCAAAATTAGACAAGGGTAAATTAGTCATTTTTCATAAATTTGATGATTGGACAAAAAGTGTTATAAATCATTGCATTAGGGACTTAAAATGAAAAAAAAGATTCCTTTTGGACCGTATTCAAAGAACACAATATAGTACAGGGACAAAAATATAAATTACTTGAGAAGTAGTATTTGATTGCTTGTGTTAATGCAGGTAATACAACTACGTAAAGCAGGTAGTCATCCTCACCTCTTTACTGGTATAGAGCCAGAACCATATGAAGAGGGTGAACACTTGGTTCAGGTATAAAAAATATATCATCTCTATTTATTTATAAAATCATACAAAATGCTAGTAATAAATTTGAAATCTTTATGATTTCTTTCAGGCAAGTGGCAAACTGGTAGTCTTAGACGAGCTACTTCAGAAGCTACATACGTCTGGATACCGTGTTCTTCTGTTTGCACAGATGACACATACACTTGATGTCTTACAGGTTTACTTCCTTATCTTTTCATAAAAAAACTGCCAGCTGTCAGCTGTGCTTATGTATATCCATCTGTTATTATTTAAACTTAAACCTTTTTGGAAAATTTTGAAATACAGGACTATATGGAGTTGAGAAAATACCCTTATGAGCGGCTTGATGGATCCATCAGAGCTGAAGAGCGGTTTGCTGCAATACGGAGTTTTAGCCGAAAGTCCGGAATTGGAAATTCCAATTCCGAAGCTGATTCCGACTCTGCATTTGTCTTCATGATTTCCAGCAGAGCAGGGGGTGATGGGCTGAATCTTGTAGCTGCTGATACTGTGAGCTTTGCAATACTAACATCTATGGAGCAGGGTGTTTAATTATGATCTTTACAATACAGAGTTTTTCTAGTTTTCACAAAATCAATTAAAAATATTTTAAGCCGTTAATTAAGGACATCAAAATATTATGTCTAAGTGATGACCATACAAGGGGCCTGGGCAAAAAATTTTGGAACTTGAAGATATTATTACCAAAAAAAACATAATGTGATTAGCTTGCAATGTATTGGAAAAAGCGATTGCATGTGCATGGCTTTGAGACAATTCCTTATTTCGGTATCACGTCTCCCACTTAGATTGCAAAAATTTATGGAACTTGGTTGTTGTTGTACCCATAAGCCGCGAAGGTATATGAATTTTATTTCCAATTACTCAATGACGACTTGTTGTGTTTCAAATTAGATCTCACTGTTATTACAGTATCACCCATTTGATGATACAGGTGACAAGGGAACGAGCATTGGGGAATTGGGTCTTTGATGAAACTGCTGGAAACATTCATAGGGAGTTTGGATCTGGCTATCCTGGAGGTGAAATAACTATTACTGCTTTTTATTATTAAAGTAATTCAACAGCCATGGAATGTGATCATACGAATTTTCCTACTGTATCTATGTGATATTGTGATTATTTCATGAATTTACCTGTCCAAGTGTAAAAAGTTTGGGGTACTATGATCTTCATTTGACATGTTGTATCTATTCAGAGTAGGCTTAGAGCAATGGTTGCAAGAGATGAGTTCAGAAGAAGAAGAAACAAGGCTGCAACTAACTATAGTTCAGGTACTATGGAGGAATTACGTTTGTAAAGTATTTCAGATAATGATTAGAAACAAGGGTGAATTTGTACACATTAGTTAGCTACTTGCAGGTTGATCTTGAATAAGAAAAGGGGCAATGGATTGTATTTTTTTGTATCTAATTTGTTTGTAAATTTTTGTTACAACTTCTATTGATTTGTTTTATCTTTCCATAAAACGATTATTTGTATGACATTAAATTTATGCAATTGATTCTATTTTTTTGTATATGATATTTTATTTTCTATTATGAAACATTAAATACAAATTTAATTTGAAAATAAGTAAACCTATAAATGATAATTTTTTTAAACATTTAAAATTATGATACGCAAAAATGTGTGTCATCTTCATTTATGACATTGCCTTTCTTGACAGGGGCTTTCTTGATACACATTGTGTGTCATTAACATGCGTGTCGTAAGGTTACGACATGCAAATGTGTGTCGTCTTTCTTTATGACAGGACCTTCCTTGATACGCATTGCGTGTCGTAAATACGCGTCGTAAATGAGCGTCGTAAATGTGCGTCGTCTATAGACGACGTGCAAAAGCGCGTCATCTCTCTTTATGACAGGGCCTTCCTTGACGCGCATTTGCGCGTCGTCTGAGCCTTTTACGACGCGCAATGAGCGTCGTAAAAGGCTGTTTTTCTAGTAGTGTTTGGTACGCGCCGCGTAACCCAGAGGGTTGACTTTTGTTGACTTTAGGGTTTGGTCAACTTTAGGGTCCTTGATCCATGAGAGGGGTAAAATAGTCTTTTACCCTTCCGAGAGTGCTAAGATAGGGAGTAGTCTATCCTTGAGAGTTGTATTGATTAAGAGTGTTTATTCCATGTGATTAGGCGGAGGCTAGACCAGATTTTTATCGAGTTCAAGATTACCGAGTTACCCGAGGTGAGTCTTCTCACTATACTTTACCAAGAATGGTAATTAGAGTTATGTGACAAAGTATCTTGTATGCTTTTGTATGATGTGATTTCTATTTAATTTGTGCTATGTATGATCCAGAGTTCACAGAGTTAGGATCCAAAGGGTCCGCGGAGTTATGGGACTGGAGGGTCCCACTTAGACCCATTGACCTAAGGGTCATATAGAGTTATAGCCTCGAGTGGCTAATATGTGTTGTATATGGTATTTTGGGGAACTCATTAAGAATTTATGCTTACAATGTTGTGTTATATGTTTCAGGTACCAGTGAGGATCACGGGAAGGCTCCGGTAAGATCAGTACACACATGAGGGGTTTTTACACATTATGATCTTGGGTTGTGTTTCTATGAATTGAGTTGTGATACAATGACATTTTTATAATATTTATGAATAAAAGTTTGTTTTTAAATTGTGAAAAATTATTTGAAAA